CACACACACACACACACACACACACACACACCCCACACACACACACTTAATCAAATAGGGTTGAAAGATTTAGGGAAAAATATTTAAATTGATGGCTCTAGAATTACTTTCCAGGTAACCATCATTTCAACATTTTGACCTTTAATTGCAAACAATGGCTCTCTCTCTGCCTAGCTTTCCAGAAACTTCTAACCTCCCTTGCTTCTGTCCCCTTTTCTCACTGCCCCTGGGGTACTCACCTGGGTCCACAATGAGCACACTGGCCCCAGAACTTAGCACAGAGTGTAGCAGGGGCATCCCCCGGCCATGTGGGTTGATCCAGGCCACAGGGCAGCCCAGCTTGGCCAACCCCAGAAACACAGTCAAAGCTGGAATATTCTTGGAGGGGAGCGTTAAGAGGGCAACAATGTCTTCGGCCTGTTTGCTTGTGGCATCCTTCAGCTTTGCTTTCAGTGCCCATGCTGCCTGACAGGCCCTGACATTCAGCTGGCTATTGGTGATCGAGCCGGCCCCAGACCCTCCTGTACACACCACCGCCACCTTGTCAGGCCGTGCCCTTGCTTGCCGCTCCAAAGCATCCACAAAGGTCTCTGGAGGCTGCTTGTTAAGGCCTTGCATAGTTTTCAAGGCACAGTAGAGGATCTTGACTGTGAAGGCCACATCTTTGTGTAGCCAGCGTAGCCCCGGCGGTGGCTGTGGAGGCAACAGTGTTAAGGTGAGAGCCGCAGCTACCATACTCAGCCAGTGGGGCATCAAAGAGCTGATCCAGGGTTTGGCCAGCAATGCCAAACCAAGTAGCACAAAGCATGTGGTGTCTCCCAGGAACCAACGTAGGGCCTTGGCGTAGGGCCAGGGCCATCGCTGCTGGCCAAGGGGGCTGCCTCAGGCCAGCCAGCAGAAGCAGCAACAGCAGTAGGAAGGTGAGTTTCGGCCAAACTCCCATGGCACTGACTCTTTCTCAAGTGGCTGAGAGCAGTGTAGTCTCAACTTAACCCAGAGAGCTCCAAAGCCCTAACTTCCTGCTTTTAATGGAATCTGCCTACCCCACTCCCCAAATATGACCAGGTACTCCCAGCAACGTCTCTTGTCCCCTGGACCTTGTCCTTTTGTTACATAGTTCTTACTGGCCAGGAATCCTAGAGTTCCAGCCCCCTGGCTCATTACCAGGCCAGCCCCGCCTCCTTTCGAAGGCTAGCATTTATCTCCATCTCATGTCTGTTAAGTATGGGGAATCAGGGAAACCAGAAAAAGCACAAAGAAGCACAGCTCAGGAGCTGGAGAGACGATTCAGTTGTTAAGAGCACTGGCTATTCTTCCAGAAGACCCAGATTCAACTCCCAGCACTCACATGACAACTCACAACTGTCTCTAACTCCAGAGACATGGGACCTGAAACGTCCCATAGCAAAAATAGTAATGCACATAAAAAAAAAAAAAATCAGCCAGGTGGTGGTGTGTACCTTTAGTCCCAGCACTCAGGAAGCAGAGGCAGGTGGATCTTTTTAAATTAAGGGCTAGCATGGTCTACAGAGTGAGTTCCAGGACACTGGCTATTACACAGAGAAACCCTGTCTTGAGAAACAACAACAAAAGCTCAGCCTGTATCTCTACTTGCCTGCCTTGTGGTCCTTTTTTTTTTTTTTTTAAATGATTTATTTATTCTTATTTTATGTACATTGGTGTTTTGCCTGCATGTATATCTGTATGAGGGTATTGGATCCCCTGAAACTGGAGTTACAGGGGAATCCAGTAACTGCTATGTGGGTGCTGGGAATCCAACCCCGGGTTCTCTGGAAAAGCAGCCAGTGCTCTTAACTACTGAGCCATCTCTCCAGCCCTGCCTTGAGGTCCTTTTATTTGACCCAGTCCTTGCCCTGAACTAGCAAGGGAAACTTGTTTACTGCTGGGTACACAGTAACAGCTCAGTAAATACTTCAGGACAGCTGGATTTAAACACACTTCTGTAGTTCACCATGAGCCTGTTGCATTAGGACTCTGCCTTGCTTCCGCTATCCTTGTGGACTGAGTCTTGCTCTGCTTGTGACATCCAGCCACAGAAGAGCTTCATGGGCCCACAAGACAAGCAGCTAGGACTGGGGGCTGGCCTTCCCAGCTAGAGCTCCTCCCCTGGCACCACATCTTTACAGTGAGACATCAGTGGATCAGAGGTAGAAAGGAGACGGGGAGGATGCCTCTCTCTGAGCTGACAGCAGTTACAGTGCTGATTTCTTTGACACTAGGTCACTTCTTTTTATTCAGTTAAAGATTTATTTATTATGTATGCAGTGTTCTGCCTGCATGTGTGCCTACACGCCAGAACTCATGATAGATGGTTGTGAGCCACCATGTGGCTGCTGGGAATTGAACTCAGGACCTCTGCAAGAGCAGCCAGTGCTCTTAACCTCTGAGCCATCTCTCCAGCCCTTTAGGTCACCTTCTTTATTCAATAGGCAGCCTGGGTCCTAGCCATTCTTGCTTCCCACCCACCTGACACAGCCATCCAATTCATGCTGGGTTCTCTCTAGTACTTGGAGCCCAATATCCAAGGTTCAAATGTCCTCCAACCAACCTGGCCCCCAAAGAACCCTACAGGACACCTCACAAGTAAGAGGTCCAACATTCATGTCCATCAGAATGGGGGGAGGGAGAATTTTGAGTCTAAAAGGTTTCTGGTTGGAAGGGCACTCGATTTCTGCGTTGTGTTTGTAGCAGTCAGCATTGGAACTAAGACTGGGACTGACTCCCCTCCCCACAGGGTTGAACATGTCAAGAAAACTGGATGAAGCCGGGCGTTGGTGGCGCATGCCTTTAATCCCAGCACTCGGGAGGCAGAGGCAGGTGGATCTCTGTGAGTTCGAGGCCAGCCTGGTCTCCAGAGCGAGTGCCGGGATAGGCTCCAAAGCTACACAGAGAAACCCTGACTCAAAAAAAAACAAAAAAAGAAAGAAAACTGGATAAGCTGGGCGGTGGTGGCACACACCTTTACTCCCAGCACTTGGGAGACAGAGGCAGGTTGATCTCTGTGAGTTCAAGACCAGTCTGGTCTACAAGAGCTAGTTCCAGGACAGCCTCCAAAGCCACAGAGAAACCCTGTCTCCAACCACGCTCCCAAAAAAAGAAAAGAAAAAGAAAAACCTTTTCTGGAAAAAAGAAAACTGAATGACTGCAGCCCACCCACCACCCCAAAATAAAATTCCAGGCTATCAAGCCAAATTGTGTCTACCTGTCCAGAAAATCCCAGGGGACTGCAAAGGAACAACCTAGGAACTTGGGGACCAACCAAGCCCCAATCCCATAGCCCAGAAAGCCTACTAGGCATACACTGGCCCAACGTCCTTTATTAGAACGGAATCCTAAAGTCCCATGGTAGGTCTATCTGAGCCTCCATGGATGCCCAATGACAGAATGGTAGCTCCAGACTGGGGGTGAGGTCAGAGAATTCTAGCCCAGCACTGGGGCAGAGGACAACCCTAGACGTCATACCCGGACAAGGGATGGGGCAAAATTCCTCCATCAGGTTTCCATAGTTCCAATAGTCTGTGCCCAGCTCAACCTGGAAATGGTCTAGGTCTCTGAGGTGGCAGGGTCGCTTCCAGAGATGCTAAGCGTGTGTAGGAGGGAAATTGGGTTCTGGGTCCCAAGTCCACAGGGAAAACGGTGTGAGTGAGGGCAAGGGAAAGCATCGGTACTCCGGAGCATGTGACTTCTGGTGGAGTGAACCTAGTTCAAGGGTCTGAGTGCACCTGCGCACTGTGCACAGCTGGGTCCCCATCAAGGTGCAGGATGAGCTGCCAGGTGACGCTCCAACAGTGCCCGATGTGAGAAAACCTTGCCGCAGGCAGGGCAGGGAGCACGCTCTGGCCGGTGTGTGCGCATGTGCACATTGAGTGAGCTCTTCTGCGTGAAGCGCTTGGCACACACAGCACACTGGAAGGCTCGCACGCCAGTGTGTGTGACCATATGCTTGAGCAGGTAGTCGCGTAGCGAGAAGGAGCGCCAACACACCGCGCACTGATGCGGCTTCTCCCCTGCAGACGACAAAGCAAGCCACACACACACACATTAGTCCAGCTTTGCCCTGCCCTTGGTTGGGACTTCTCTCTCTTCTCCCCTCCTCAGTCAGTTCAGGACCCCTGTGCTTTTCAAGGAAACCACTCAGGATCCCACTCTACCAGGAACCCCTCTCCTGGAAACGCATTATCATTCAACTGTGCCACTGTCTGCCAGGGACCCTTAAAAAGGAACCCTACCTGTCTGGAGCAACACCCATTGCCCATTTGGGCTAGACACTCCGATCTCTTCCAACGTCAAGGTTTCTTCTTCCCCAGCTCACACTTCGCGTGGCACTGGTAGACCCTGGGACCCAGCCTTCTCCACTCAGAACCAAATTATGACCCACGTTCCTTCACCCCAAGCCTCTTCCTGCAGCTCCCACCCCCGTAGCTGGTGCGTTTCCTACCAACACTTCCTTTAATCTGCTTTCCCAGGCTGACGCTAGCTTTCCAAAAGAGCTTGGGAGGCTTTGGAAAGGCAGACTCCCACCTCCCAGTCAACCGCTTTACGTGGGGGAACTAAATTTTCAGGCTTCTAAGGTTAACACAAAACAAAGCCTCTCCAGTGCCCAGTCCCACCCAGGAACCAACTCTCCAGTGACTAAGGATCTTGGCAATCTGTGTGAGTAGAGGCGATTTCCTTTCCCCACCCACTCACCAGAGTGGATGAACATGTGCTTGGTGTAGTTTTTCCGAGAACTGAAAGTCTTGCGGCAGTGGCTACACTCATAGGCGGGTTGC